CCTTCTCTTAGCAATTATATGAAAGTATGAATCCCTCAAACTCTTTTTTTGCAATTTATCAACCCTACTTATTAATCTAAACAGTATGAGAGCAGGTCCCAACTAATTCACATTCTCACTATAATGTGTAATTTTGTACTTGCTAGTTTCTTCTATATCATTGTGTTGTTTATGTAATTTCTCTTCCCTCATACCATATCTTTTTGCTTTATTTGGAAATTGATATTATCTGTTCATGCTCAACAATTTTTCCCCGAGACCTTCGTTAATAACTTAAATAATTGTCTGTACATACTTATGATGATAGTTGTCTATTTGCAGGAATTAGAAAAGTCAAAACCTGTTATTTTGTGTGGTGATTTAAACTGTGCTCATGAAGAGATAGATATCTACAATCCGACAGTAAGTACTTCCTGAAATGAAGATGATAGTTGTTATTTTTACCAAATTAACCTTCTAAAAAAAGAAAAGGGTGCTATGGAAACAAAAAGAAAGTAAAAATTAGGAAAGTAAAAAGTTAGTAGAGTTCAAATGACTGAAGTATTCTTATATTTGGGCCATACAAAAAAGGATAGCTTTTCTTACAAAAAGGGACACATGGAATACTCTATTCTCTCCAATTTCATGTAAAAAGTTTGTTTGGTGCAATATATGCATGTTGTGATCTTATGAATGGCCTTTTGACTAAAAAATGATTGAATGCTTTTTATTCTAGAAATTGATAAAATATCATTAGGAATTCTATCTTCCTGATCACGTGCTGACATTTTTTCCAACACAACTCAACTCCATGAACTAGTTTGCTTGGTAGTCGCCCTATGTCATTTTGGTTCATTTTAACTGTCCTCTATATGCCCTCTATATAATAATTTGGTTTTTTGCTTCTTCTCAAGGGAAACAAAAGAAGTGCAGGATTTACAGACGAGGAAAGGCAATCATTCCAAAAGAACTTCTTAAACAGGGGATTTGTAGACACGTTTAGGAAACAACATCCTGGCATTGTTGGTTATACTTATTGGGGATATAGGCATGGAGGGCGTAAAAGTAATAAAGGTATAATTTTCCCGGTCCTTTTCTATCTACACATCCAGGTCTTGTTCTCATTTTCAATTTGTATTATTATTATTGAAAAACATCGAGGTATAATCGGCAAACTACAAAATTCCCAGAAATCCTCCAATAAAGCCTAATATTTAACGGTGTAAATGGCAATTTTAACAAAGAAGGGACTGGTTGTATCTAAATCTTTACAATTAAGAGACAGTGTAAAAAAAATGAAAGACATGTTCAAGTATACTTAACAAACAATTAAGGGGACTTAACACTTAAGTGTGATGCAATTCGAGGCGATCAATGACTGACAACTCTGTTACTTTCCACTTTCTCATCATTTTCTCTTCGTCTTTCTGACATGAGGGTATGCTCTTACAATTTGTAATTTATGCTTTGGGATGCATATAACAGGATGGAGGCTTGACTATTTCCTTGCATCTGAATCCATTGCAGACAACGTTCATGACTCGTACATTATCCCAGATGTTGCAGGAAGTGATCATTGTCCCATTGGACTTGTACTCAAGCTTTAGAAATGTGATCATATTACCCTGTTCTCCCATCCGTCCGTCCATCCGTCACCTGTGATGGATGGAATGATCTAAACCTGTTATTATGGAATGAAGGAATCAAACAGGAAGCCATGTAAGCAATACGGATTCTTGGTTGGTCCTGCTAGAGCCATTAGATTTTGTACAGATATATGGCTTTTCAATGGACGTCCTGATGTGGGGGGGTGGGGGGGTGGGGGGGCTTGCCTAGATTGGCAGTATAAAGGTAGGTGTTGTTTATGCTTTTGTTGTTGTACCAAGCCTACAATACAATCTATCACCCCTATTTTGCCCTTAATAACACAGTTATACTCACACACGCAGTGGAAGACCTAGCGGTGGCATGGGGAGGGGGGGGGGGGCCCTGCCGCCCTCGCTTCCGGTCCTGAAAATCATCTTTAGTACTTGGGTCATAGAATTATGCTCCTCATAGTCTGGTTGGACAACAATAGTTCTACGATGATTGTATAGATGCCCTACAAATTGCTAAAAGAAATGTCGTTGCACTTGAAGAAGAGAAGTGAATTATAATTCAAAACATGAAGTTCATTTTGATTTCGAGTATTGTCTAAATAGAACAATTCAAAATGATATATGCTGGTTTTGATTAAGGCTATTAACGAATTCAGACATTTAGAGCTCGACTATGACTTGTTTAGGTAATAGCGGTGTTTGAATTTGAGCTTGAAGCTCGATGAGCTCTACAAATGGGGTCTAGATTCGGTTCAATTGATGTTCGATGTTTTATTTGAGCACGCAATAGTTAAACTCAATAAGTATGTTTAAGTGTAGAGGTCTAATGTATGCTTGTTAATAGGTTTGTGCTCAAATTATTCAACAAATTCTTGAATCTTTAACAAAAGTAGTATTGAATAATGAACTCGAACACTGACTATAAAGAAAGCAATGAGTTCAATAATGGTGTTAAGGACTGATACTATTTTTCATAGGTCTAGGTTAACTCCTAAATATCAAGCAATTAAATGGCTTTGAAAAGGGTTTCATCACGGGCTTGTCACTGATTAGCATATTCTTGTCAAGCTCTCGCTAAAATATATGCAAGAGTGATTTTGTCATGAAAAATTAAGTGGTCATGAGAAAAAATATGGCATTTCGTGATAAATTGGCATCACTCTTGATTTTTACAGTGCAATAGAAAAAGGTTGACTTCTAAAGTTAGACTATTAAATGGTATAAAGTCAAAGCTCTAAAAATGCTAACGCTCCCTTATTTGCAGAGTTTTCATTTTAGCGATTTTGTCCAAAAATGCTAGGGTCGGATAGCTGTTTATCAAACAACGTTTTCATTTATTGAAAACACTAAAAGTGGTAAAATCAACATTTTTTGGGTGAAAAGGCATTTTCCAAACACCATAGTAGGCATGGACCCGGGCCGGGTCGGGCCCGGGCCGGGTCAAGGCCCGGTCGGGCCTCGGGTCCTATAAGGGTAGGCCCGGGACCGGCCCGGTCAATGACCGGTTCCGGTTCGGGCCGGGTCACCCGCCCGGGTCACGGGTCGGGCCACCCGCCGGGCCGGGCCGGGCCGGGTCAATAATTTTTTTTTTTTATATTAATTATATATTATACAAATTGCTATTAAAAACAAAGTTCAAGTGCATTTATTTGAAATAAGAACTACATTTGAGAATTGAGAAAAAAATAACAATACGAAATACATTTTGTAAATTGTAATGAATATCAATTGGGATTTCCGCCACCGTTGGTTGTTGTTTTCCCTTTGTCACAGAACTTCATATGTTTTATTGGCATCCCGTATCCGTATGAACGCCCCAAGCAACAGTCTTTCTTGCACCACCTGCAAGTTGCCCACCACAGTCCGGTCTTCGGGTCCTTCCACTTGTCAAAATTGTTTTGCATAAGAGAAGATGTACTTTCCATATTTAAAATGGTATATGTATAACACTATAAGTAATTAAGTAGGAATGTAGGATAATAAGAGAAGATAAAGATGGAGAAGAGTTTGAGAAGAATTGGAGAAAAGGTGTAGAAAAATGTTAGAAAATAGATGTATTTATAGGTGTTTTTGAACCCCACTCCCCACACCACCACCCCCGGGACCCCCCCTGCCCCCCACCCATAGCCCCAACGGCTATATAGCCGTTTGGGAGCTTTGAAATTTTTTTTTTTTTTTTTTTAAGTTATACACATATTGTAAAATAAATTAATTAATTTAATGAATTAAGTAAAACTAAAACAAATGTTACAAAATAGGTGTATAAGTATTTAAACAAATTACATATTCTAAATGTATTTTTAATTTAAAAACCGGCTTTATATTTTAGAAAAATAATTTTAAGTCGTTAGATTGTAACCAATTAATTAATTTGAGAAGTGCTACATATGAAAAAGTGAACACATATTTATTTGAAATATGAAGTACAAGTTTACAAATTAATTTGAACTACAACTACAAATTTACAATTTTGAAATATGAAGTACAAGTTTACAATTTTGAAATATGAAGTACAAGTATAAATAAATTTGACAAGTGCTATAAAATACATTTTGTACTAAATTCTAAAATACTAATCAATCGGAATCTCCGGCATAGGTAGAGCCACCATCGGTTGTTGAGTCATCCATAAAATCTTGGGAGGGGGTGATGCTCAATTCTTGAGTTCTACGTGCGGCCTTCAACCAATCGTGGTAGCATATAAGCGTCTCAAGAGACTCCGCGCTCAATCTCGATCTAGATGCCGTTAGGACGTTGCCGGCCGAACTAAATTCTTGTTCCACCGCAACTGTTGAAACCGGCATTGATAGTACTTGCTTAGCCATCCGTGCTAAAATCGGGAACGTTCTTTCTTTTGACTTCCACCAGTCTAGAACGTCAAAGTCATCATTTTCTTCAAAATCAACTTCATATGTTAAATACAAAGTAATCTCATTCAATGCGCTTTGTTCAGTGACGTGAGTTGTTTTAGTTTTTTTCATAAGATTGCCAAATGCAGATTTAAAAATCGATTTTCCTTTAGATGAAGATGTTCGTGACGGGGGAGGGGGAGCGTTGCTATATTGTGCACGAAACTCATTAAATAAGGCATAAAATAAAGTACTAACCTCGTTGTATTCCGTTTTCGGATCTATGGGGTTATCCTCATACATTGGAAATTCACCGAAAAACGCAAGATAATAGAAGTTGAAACAATCTTCCAAATTAGCAAGTCTATAACGAGGATCGAGAATAAATGCAATACCATAAATATGGGGAATATGCGCATAATATTTTAAAAACTTTTCCTTCATATGATCACAAAAATAATGAACGAAAACGGCATTTTGAAATTCTTTAAAAGCATCGGCGAGATTAACAGCTTGTGGAATAAATTGGTTTGCGGTAGGTTTATAAACATGACTAAAAGTTTCAGTAGCATTAAAAAAATATATCAAAACATTACAAATTTTTTCGCAAGTGTCGATCTCAGCCGCGTTTATAATATAGTTATCATGTTCTTTTAAAAAAGCAGGAAAATGTTCTTTATATCTAAGAACAACTTTAAGTAATTTATAAGTACTATTCCAACGAATACTCAAATCTTTAGGAAAAGCAACATATCTCACACCTCTTTCAGTCAAATAACTTTGTCATTTTAATCTAAGTTGACCATTACCCCAAATACGTCTAACCCCCCCCTTTATTACCTCCATGGAATCTCCTAACGCTTTTAAACCGTCTTGCACACATAAATTTATAACATGACATGCACACCGTTGATGAAAAAATCTACCCATCAAAGAATTGGCACCACACAACTCACGCAATCTAGGTATAGCAGCAGTATTATTAGTAGCATTATCGAAACCAATAGCAAACACCTTATCAATCAAATTATACTCAATTAAAATACGCTCAATCAAAATATAAATATGTTCAGCGGTGTGACGATCATTAAATTCACGAAAAGCAAGAACACGTTTATGCATATTCCAATCCTCATCAATATAATGTGCAGTCAGACCCAAATAATATAAATGATGAAAATCATCCTCCCATATGTCAGAACAAATAGTAACACGCCCATCAAAGTTTGCAAAAAAATTTTGTAACCTTTCCTTTTCCGCATTATAAAGCCTTATTATTTCTTTCTTAACAGTTTTGCGACTATAATTTCTAAATTGAGGATTTAAACTACCTTGTGCATAATCTCTTAAAGCAAGACTTTCAGAAAACAAATAAGGCAAATTTTCTTCACAAATTAAGTTAGCCATACCAGTCAAATTTTGTGCATCATTGTAGGCGAAATTACCAAAAGGTTGAGAATTCGCAAACCTCGATATTTGAGTTTGCTTCCCCGTTCCGCCGCCTAATTTTGCATACTCCACGGGGTGCTTTGCCTTAAGATGCCTTGCGGCGGATCCGTATCCGCCGGAGGTTCCCAAAAGTATAATTGTTGTTGCACCACTTGCAAGTTGCGTGCCAATAGCCGGTTTGTGGGTCCTTCCATTTATCAAAATTATTTTTCATTAGTTCAGACTTACTTTTTTTATTACCGGTGGCGGTTTGGGATGAGGCAGGCGCGTCGGCGTCGTGGCTGCCGGCACCCTCCTCCTCGGCCGTCTCCGGTTCCAATTCCTCTGCATCTTCATCCTCAAGCTCCTCTTCGTCAATGGTCGTCGGCATTTGTTGTTGTTGTAGAAAGCGGTTATTATGTCGGGCCAATTCTTGTTGGAGTTGTTCTTCGGACATCGCATCTCCATCTCGCCTTTGGTAACCCGTTTCAAAATCATCTCGACTTTGAGATGAAGACCCGGCAAGTTCTTTACCTTTGCGGGATTTCTTCCTCCCAATCTCGTTTCTTCGATTGCGTTGGAGGTTACCCAAATCAACCGAATATCTACCACCTTCCATCTAAAAAATGTAACAAATATTAATTCACAACAAATATAATAATGGATACAAAACTAATGCAACTAATTAAAACTATTTTAATTAATACTTCAAACTAATTTTTTGCAAAGTAGAATTAATGTGTGTCTCTACAATTAAAATTATAGCAACTTTTGAAGTAAATAACTAGTACAAGTAAAAATGTAACAACAATGCTAATTAAGTAGTTAACTAGTATAGTGACAAATGTAACAAACTAACAACTAGTTAAATAAAATGTGAAGTATTTTAATTAGTATAATGAAAAATGTAACAAGAATGGTATTGAAGTATTGAACTAATTAACTAGTATAATGAAAAATGTAACAAGAATGGTATTGAACTAATTAACTAGTATAATGAAAAATGTAACAAGAATGCTAATTAAGTAATTAACTAGTATAATGAAAAATGTTACAATAATGGTAATGAACTAATTAACTAGTATAATGAAAAATGTAACAAGAATGCTAATTAACTAATTAACTAGTATAATACTAGTTATAGTAAGTAATATATAATATAATGTTTATATTATATAATATATAAGTATACTATACTATACGATGAGTAATACACTTATATTTTATACTTTAATATATAAATATATATTAAGTAGATGTAGAATGTATGTATTAAGTGGATATAATAATTGTATAAGAATTAAATATTAGAGTATAATGGAGAATTGGAGATTGGAAAATAAGTATATATAAACTATAAGTAGAGAAGTAGATATTATTATGTATTAAGTATATAATAATAGTTTATAAAGTATATTTAATACTTTATTATATAAAGTATATATTAAGTAGATATAGTATGTATGTATGTATTAAGAGATATAAGTAGAAATTAAGTAGATAAGAAATATAAGCAATATAGTATATGTAGATAATAATATATATAAGTAGATAATTAATATATAAGTAGATATAATAATTGTATAAGTATTAAATAGTAAAATAAAATATAAAGGAGAATAAGAGAATTAGAGAAGATGAATATGGAGAATTGGAGAATGGAGATGAGTAGAGAGTAGGATTTAGAAGAGTTGGAGAAGAGGTGTGAAAAAATGTTTAAAATTAGGAGTATTTATAGGTTTTTTTTTAACCCCCACCCCCCCACCCCACCCCCCACCCAAACCCCCCTGACCCCCCCCTGGTACACCCAACGGCTATATAGCCGTTTGGGGTAGCCGTTTGAGCCAAAAGAATCCAAAAAAAAAATTTTTTTTTTTTAAATAGTGGACCGTTAGGCCCGGGCCCGGGCCCGACCCGGCCGGGCCGGGCCTCCAAAACCAGGACCCGAGCCCGGTCCCGCTAACCCGACCGGGTCTCTGCCCGAACCGGACCCGGACCCGAGAACCGGGCCGGTTCCGGGCCCGCACAGTGACGGGCCGGGCGGCCCGAACCGGGTCCACGCCTACACCATAGTATGAAAAATAATTGGAACCCAAATTCAAAATTAGAAATGGTATAGGAATGATTCAGTTCTAATCCAAATTATGTTTTTGTTTCAAAAACTTGAAATTATTGTTTTGAATAATTTTAATGGTTGGAACTTTGAAACTCGATGTATAATTTGTAAATGTGTATCGCTTTAAATTTAAACTTATCAATCTATTCGTGGTTAAAGAATAATTTGCGCGGACTTAGACAAATCGACCAGTGCCAAGCTTAACATGTTCTTCCATGCGACTATCACGGTATCACCCTTCAGAAAGTTTTTGTCTGTCATTGTATACACGTGTCTGCACACAATTTCACTTTTGGATGTCTTTCTACGCATTTGTCAATATTGAAAGTTTTCTTTTTAATAACTTAATTCAATAATTCATCAATATTTTCAACACGTCCAAGTTTTCCCAAAACTTCCATTCTTTTCTCGATGATCATCATGATACATCAATACTTTAATCTAGAGCCAGAGGTAAGGTAGGTGCACATTTGATCCCTCACCAAGTAAAAGCACACTTTTGAGTGGGGTTTAGGATGGTTTACTTACGCGCTCCTTGAAGTCACAAACTAGACTTAAATAGATCAAATCAAAGTAGATTTAAGCAGACTAGATCATATCAGACTTGTATAATTGTAAAATCACACATACACCAAATATTTATCATACTAGTTCAGACTAAATTCAAACAGATCAAACTAGAAAACTTCAGCGCAAGTAAAAATATCCTTACCGTTGTTAAGTTTAATTTTGGGAAAATTCCCTAAGTAAGAGTAAAAGCAATGTAAAATTTTAAAACATGAGTATTATGTTTTTTTTCCTTAGATATATTATGGTTATGCTATTGTGAAACATAGTCACATTTGTGCATTATTATGCTTTAAGTATGACAGTACAAATGTCATAATTGACATTATTTCCTAACTATGATAGTTTATGAATATATATAGAGTTCCTATTTTTTAGATTTTAAAATATTTTGACTCCTATTTAGGTTAAAAAAAAACAATTTTCAGTTTTGCTTGTGAATATATGAATTACACAATCAAAAGATCACCATCTCTCGACAGAACATATTGTACAACCGATTGTACCGTACACACGGTACAATCGGGAAACCTTTGTTCAAAGAAATGTGTATAACGTTTAAACGAAATGAGTATTTGTATTAAATTATAACATTAGCACAATAAATATTTTGTTGATAATACAATGATAATATAGTTAAATAAATAAGTTGATTTATATAAATATGTAATTTCTTGATATGTGGTGGTACTCCTTGATATTTCTAGATTTCAGTTACATTTAATGTGTCATTCCGTCATTCCTATTTTAATATAGTTGGCATCATTATTGTGGAAGGGGTTTATAAATTGAGGCGTAGCTTTATTGAACAATAAGTAGTGTTATGTGTTCCGGCTTCAGATAAATTACAATGATCGTGCTGTGCCAGTTGTGTCCACAACCACTGGAGCCTCGGCTTCAGAAAAGCTTTCCACGTGTTCGTCACCTTTTTGCCCTATCACATCAATAGCTTGATGATTTTTTCCTGTGAATGCAAAAAAGGCAATAAAATAAGCTATGAATTTGCCAAAACTCGTTGATTGTGACACATTTTGTAAGCAAAATGTTGTAGCTACACACCTTTTGTACACAAATGATTTACACCATGTCACCATTAATAAGTGTCTGTTTACAAGCCAGATTTTGAATGAATTGCATGAATAGACAGACAACTAGGGGTACGCCATATGTGTACAAAATGTGTGTACACCGATCATTGTTCATTTCGTAATCTTAAAGTGAATGCCGAGTATATCAAACATGTGTACATCATACCATAAGTTTTAAGAATGTTTTTTTTTTGGGACAAAACTTGACTCGTGTTTTGAGTGGAATCACATGAGCTGTTCTATGACCTTAAGCTCGATCTTAGCCCAAAACACATCATCACATGAGTTGTTCTACGACCTTAAGCTCGATCTTAGCCCAAAACACATCATCACACGAGTTGTTCTACGACCTTAAGCTCGATCTTAGCCCAAAACACATCATCTCACTTTTGGGTATGTTGGAAGGAGGTGAGATGAAATAAAATTTGATAGGTATGACAAAGTTAGTCAAATTGTGACATAATTAGATAAGATGTATAATCTATCAAAAAAAAGATAAGATGTATAGTCATTCTTGGTTATTACTTATTATTAATGCGTCCTTTGCATCTTATCTAAAAAAAATACTAATTTAGGAGCTAAAATGAAAAAGGAATGACAATTGTAGGTTGATACACAACCATAAGGGCACGTTTGGTTGGAGGTAATCTTGTATACAGGCCGGAATCTGAGATACCCGCGTTTGGTTCGCAGGTTTAAATTTTTTTGGGGAATGTAACATTCCGAAAAGTGAGGAATGTAATCTCATGCGCAGTAATGTTAAACCCATGAAGCTCTTAGGTTATCTTGGATGTCTGGTTGATTATAACACTTCTTCCAAAAATACCCACTCATTTAATCAAGAGAACCTCTTTTAACTTGCTTTTTCCTACATATGCTAATGTAATCGAATATTCACCTTTATTTTTAATGTGTTTCATTGTGCATTTACTTAAACAATATAATAAGAAATAATTACATATATATGACTAGAATAAAGATTGTTTACGAAAATGTGACTACCGACTAGAGTAATAATATAATTAGAGTAACTTACGTTCTATTTCTAAACTTTTTTTGAACGAACGTTCTATTTCTAAACTTAAGTTACCATAAAACTACATTGTAGGAACTATTAATCATATTTGTTTTAATAAATTTTCTCTTAGTAATATTTTTGAAGAAAAAAAAACAAACAATAATGCTTACTAATGTTCACTAAACTTTGTCATTTGAGCAAATAAGCACATTTTTTAAAAAAAATATTCAATTAGTTCTTATTTTATTTATTGTTCAGATATTTCATTTTTTCTTTAATTTAAATTACTTCTAATGTAGGTTGTAATAAATTTATTATTTGAGAGAAAATATTTGAAGGGCATTGAAGTCATTCACCAAGTCTACAATATATGATATCATTCAACCAAACAAATTAATGTCACATTCCATGAATCTTAACCAAACCCAAATGAGATACCAATGCATATATTCACATCAATCTAACATACTCAGTAATCTGACATTCCCATGGTTATATGACATTCCTTGAACCAAACATACCATAAAGGGAAATGGATGAGTGGTTTATTCTTTTTGTACAATGGATATAGAGTGAGTTTATTTTGAAAATTAAAAAACGGATAACTTTAAGGTAGAGCTGTGGGGTTCAAGGCACTGCCTTTTGTTGGCTCAAGATCTTGATATGGAGAAGGTTATTGTTAAATCGATTCGGAGAGTACTCTTAAAGCTCTAAAGAATGAATATGGAAATAGTGCAAATTGTGTGGAGTGCTTGTTCGGGATTGGCAGAAGCTCCTGGGGGAAAAGAGATTTATTAAAGTACAACATTTTTTTTGTGAATGGAATAAATGTGCAGATATATTGGCCAATGCCACATAAAGCACCAAAAGGGTTGCTTGTGTTTCAAGAGGCTCCTATTTGGATAAAAAGTTTTCTA